CCCTAAACCCTAAACCCTAAACCCTAAACCCTAAACCCTAAACCCTAAACCCTAAACCCTAAACCCTAAACCCTAAACCCTAAACCCTAAACCCTAAACCCTAAACCCTAAACCCTAAACCCTAAACCCTAAACCCTAAACCCTAAACCCTAAACCCTAAACCCTAAACCCTAAACCCTAAACCCTAAACCCTAAACCCTAAACCCTAAACCCTAAACCCTAAACCCTAAACCCTAAACCCTAAACCCTAAACCCTAAACCCTAAACCCTAAACCCTAAACCCTAAACCCTAAACCCTAAACCCTAAACCCTAAACCCTAAACCCTAAACCCTAAACCCTAAACCCTAAACCCTAAACCCTAAACCCTAAACCCTAAACCCTAAACCCTAAACCCTAAACCCTAAACCCTAAACCCTAAACCCTAAACCCTAAACCCTAAACCCTAAACCCTAAACCCTAAACCCTAAACCCTAAACCCTAAACCCTAAACCCTAAACCCTAAACCCTAAACCCTAAAACCCTAAACCCTAAACCCTAAACCCTAAACCCTAAACCCTAAACCCTAAACCCACCTCCGCCATTTGCTCAACTTTTTTCTCTCTCCTCGCGAGAGCTTCTCTCTCCTCACGATCAGCACAAATGGTGAGATCTCCTTCGTGTGACCTCAGATCGCGCTGAAACCTTTTCCATTCGATTCGGAAGGCTGACAGCTATCGGTTTCGAGTCTTTACGCATCAAAAACGGTGGATTAAAGCATTTGTTTCGCAATTTCCTCATCGCGAAGGTAAACTACCGGAGTTTTTATTCCAAAGGTAATATCTTTCTATTGACTGGGTGAAATTTCATTATTTTTAGTTCAATAGAATCGTATTTGCCTCGTTTACCATTCTCTCTTCTATATCATTTTTATTTGATGCTTAGATGATGAGTAGTTCACAGATTTCATCGGGTGACCTCCGTCGCTCAGATGAAAAATCGCCCGACGAGTGCGAGCGAACAGGAGGCCGACACGTGGCAGTAACGGCCTCCTGTCTTCGCCTTCTCTCTCCGCCGGTTGATGTAACCGAGGAGACGGCCGTAACCGAGGAGCTGAACGGTCGAACCACGGACGTCCGTGATTCGCCATCAGCTGGCGTCTTCCCGAGACCCGAATCGGAGGGGACAGCAGTTGACGCCGTCCACTCTCTCTTCGGGAACGAGGCGACGGCAGGCGAAGAGGCCCCCTCTGATCTAACCATTGATCGTATGATCAATGGTCAGAATCAGCCGGCTATAAAGGCGTCAACAGCCGTTACCGAGGCACCGCCCTCGGACGGCCACGGCCATAACGCCGAACCAGATCCAACCGTTGATCTTGATATCAACGGAGGGGATCACAGGGCCATAAACGCGCCGCAACTTTTTGCGATCGCCGATGCCTCGGCTGGGACGCTGGTGACGTCATCAACGTCAGACACCGTGGACGTAGCACCACCTGAGGTGGCTTTAGCCCAGGTCATGCCAGCCCAGCCCAGCGAGGCTGCGCTGGCTCAGGACGTACAGGCACAGGCCCAGGTGACCCAGGCCAAGCCTGAACAGCCGGCTCAGGCTGCACCGGTCCAATCTCTTGCCCAGGCAAGGGGCAAGAGCCTGCAGCCCAAAAAGAAGATAGGACGCCGACTTTTACGTCCCCCCTCGGCCACGTCCTCTAAGCCTACCTCGAGTCAACAAATCGAACCAACTAGGATCCCAACACTAGTTGAGACACCTATATTGACCCCAAACGCATCCATTGGGCACACTATTACACCTAGTGGGCTAGACTCTACTGTGCCCCATAGGCCAAACCCGACTATACCCACTAGACACCTATCATGGGCGCAACGAGTGTCTAACCCCTTTGTCCCCTCCACAGAGACTGTCACACCACAGAAACCGCTACGTCATGTACTATTCCCAACCTATGATACCACTGTCCCAGTGCGAAGCTATAGCGATGATGATGGGGGGAGGACAATAGCTTTTACTTATGAGGAGGTCTCCTAGATGGCAGCCGCATTCCAATATACCTTAGTTGGTCGTTTCACTACGAAACGACCAACCATAGGTGACATAGAGAAGATTTACATGGCACTTGGAAATTTTCAGGGCCGAGTCTCTATCGGAGCTCGAGACTATCGTAGCATATACATCCGCTTTGAGCTAGAAGCGGATTATCGCCGAGCATGGAGCCAACCCACTTGGAGAATGGGGGAGTCTACCCTCCATACCCACAGATGGACACCACAAAATGAAATAGGGCACCAAGCACATCAGTCTCATGTGGTTCCATTATGGGTGGGCTTCCCTGGCCTACCTGCCCATTTATTTACGCCAAAGGCACTTGAGTCTTTGGCAAATGCGGTGGGAACATTCATATGCCTTGATCCAGGCGTAAAAATGTTCAACCGACCCGGATATGCACGAGTTTGTATAGAGGTGGACCTAATGGCTCCCCTCCAGAGGAGGACAATGCACTAGATGAGGAGGACAGTGCTTAACGAATCGTCAAGCACCACACCCATCCTCCTCATCTAGTGCTCATGATACTACGGGCCACACGACTAGTACCCATGAGGATGGTAGCTCTGAGACTGACATTGAGACTACCTACCTAGAGGAGGGATATCAGACGGAGGTTAGGACCACACGACTCACTAGACGCTCACCTTACTCCACGAGATCTAGGACTCGTGGGGCCACTCACTAGATCATGATACCTAGCATCATATGGAATTGTCGAGGTATAGGCAACCTCGAAACCCAATTCTATATAGCTAGCCTTATATGACAGTATCGACTAGGTATAGTAGGCCTCATTGAGCCTATGATATCATCAGACCGTATCCAACCCTTACTTAGGAGGCTAGGTATGGATCATTTTCACTCCAACCCCACGAATCATATTTGGATCTTTTGGACTAGACCATACTCTATGGAGTTGCTAGTCGAGGGACCCCAGCGTATCACTATGACGGCTCGAGATCTCACCCAAGAGTTCACCTTCTCGGTCATCTATGCATCACATAGATCCGAAGAAAGAGAAACTCTTTGGGCGGACCTAGTTCAATACGTGAGGAACTACCCTACACTAGTTGAGTCTCCTTGGTACCTAGCAGGTGACTTACTCTGTGTCCATAATACTAGTGAACGTCAAGGTGGGCGAATCCCTAGGGCCCGTAACATGGAGATGTTCAATGACTGTATTTTTCGATTAGCTCTTATTGAGCCACCTACATCAGGCGAGGCATGGACGTGGAGCAACAATCGAGGGGATGCTTTGATTTATGAGCGTATCGATCGTTGTTACATCAACAGCATCGCCATTATGCGACATCCCATATTAGTCACGATATTACCCCGTTATAGGTCAGATCACACCCCGATCCTCATACTCCCTAAACAGAGTATGAGCACCCACAGACCCCCCTTCAGATTTCAAACCATGTGGCTCCAACGTGAAAACTTTTAGAGTTTCGTACGGAATCACTGGTATGGACAGATCTCAGATTCTCCTATGGAGAACCTTAGCCATAGGTTAAGGAATCTCAAACTCCACCTTAAATGGTGGAACCGACATATCTATGAGAATGTCCATACCCAAGTTGATGCATTGCAAAAAGAGTTAGCAGAAGTTGAAAGACTACTGCAAACTAGATATTCAGATGCTGCTTGGGAAAGGAGGAGTAGAGTGAGTGACCAGCTTGATGAGGTTGTGCGACGACAGGAGTTATTCTATCTCCAGAAATCACGCATCCAGCTTAGTGGGAGAGCTGCCACCGGATCCCATAGGAACTCTGGAGTTAGGCGTGCTCGGGTGAGAGCAGGCCCCGGATGGGTGATTGCCCTGGGAGGTCTTCGGGTACGTGTGCATGCGTTGTGAGACGCTTGTTGTGCAAGTGCTGAAAGGCATTGCTGTATGATCGTGTGGCCCAGCACGTGTTACGAACCCCTCTGTCACCATGCCAAGATGCCCCGAGCTTTGAAGAACGTGCCAAGAGGCACCCCTGTCACCATGTCGAGAGGCATATGTGGCATCCATTTCGCCATGTCAAAATGCCCCCTACTCCAAAGAACATGTCGAGAGGCACCAAAAGTGCTTGGGCATGTGAAGTACCAAGATGGGTGACCACCCGAGAAGTTCGGCCCAAGACAGTTATCCCCCAAAAAATAAAAAACAAAAAAAAAAAACCCTAAACCCTAATAACCCCTCTAAGTGGGAGAGTTACCATTGGATCCCATAAGAACTCTGGGGTTAAGCATGCTTGAGTGGGAGCAGTCCCAGGTACGTGTGCATGTGTTGCGAGATGCCTGCTCTACAAGTGTTGAAATGCACTATTGCATGATCATGCTGCCCAGCATGTGTTACGAACCCCTCTGTCAGCATGCCAAGATGCCCCGAGCTTCGAAGAACATGCTGAGAGGCACCCCTGCCACCATGCCAAAAGGTATATGTGGCATCCATCTCACCATGCCAAGATGCCTCCAGCTCCGAAGAATGTGCCAAGAGGCACCCCCACCTCTAGCTCCAAAGAAAATGCCGAGAGGCACCCCTACCACCATGTCGAGAGGCATATGTGGCATCCATCTCACCATACCAAGATGGCCCCAACTCCAAAGAACGTGCCGAGAGGTACCCCTGTCATAATGTCAAGAGGCGCTAGTGGCATCTATCTCCGAAGAATATATTTGAGAGGCACCAAAGTGCTTGGGCATGTGAAGTACTGGGATGGGTGACCTCCTGAAAAGTTCGGCCCAAGACAGTTATCCCAAAAAAAAAAAAACCCTAAGCCCTAAGTGGGAGAGTTGCCACCGGATCCCATAAGAACTCCAGAGTTAAGTGTGTTTGGGAGTAGTCCTCGGATGGGTGACCTCCTTGGGAAGAGTCGCAGGTACATGAGCACGTGTTGCGACACGCTTGCTGTTCATATGCTGAAAGGCACCGCTGCATTATCATGCCACCAGGCACGCATTACAAACCCCTCCGCAACCATACCAAGATGCCTCCAGCTCTGAAGAACGTTTCGTGAGGCACCCCTGCCACCATGCCGAGAGGCATATGTGGCATCTATCTCACCATGCCAAGATGCCCCCAACTCCGAAAAACATGTAAAGAGACACCCCTGCCACCATGACGAGAGGCATATGTGGCATCAATCTCACCATGCCAAGATGCCCCCAGCTCCGAAGAACGTGCCGAAATATACCCCTGCCTTTATGCCGAGAGGCATATGCGGCATCCATCTCACCATGCCAGGACGCCCCCAGTTCTAAAGAACGTGTAGAGAGGCACCCCTGTCAAATGTCGAGACGTGTTAGTGGCATCTATCTCCGAAGAATGTGCCTGAGAGGCACCAAAGTGCTTGGGTGTGTCAAGTATCAGGATGGGTGACCTCTCGAAAAGTTCGGCCCAAGATAGTTATCTAAATAATAATAATAATAATAATAATAATCAAAACCTTAAACCCTAAATCCTAAGCCCCCTAAGTGAGAGAGTTGCCACCGGATCCCATAAGAACTATGAAGTTAAGTGTGCTCAAGTGGGAGCAGTCCTCGGAAGGGTCACCTCTCAAGAAGTTCGGCCCAAGATAATTATCCCCAAAAAAAAAAAAATCCCTAAACCCTTCACGATAACAATATACTATACATGAACTAGCACAGTCTCTTAACCATGACTCTCAAGGCTCCAATATCATCATTAAATAAGACATAGAAAAGGCCTTTGATAGGATTGAGTAAAGTTTTTTCACTAAGGTTTGTAGATGCTTTGAGTTCACCAACAACTTTATTGACTTAGTCAATACATACATTAAGGAGAATCATTTCTCCTTATTAGTGAACGGTAGCTCCACACCATTCTTCACAGCCACGAGAACTTTACGACAGGGCGATCCACTATCACCCACCTCTTCATCTTAGTCAAAGTAGTCCTCAGTCGATCTCTCATCCGAGCGATCAATCAGTGACTTATTCAACAATAGTAGAACGATGTGATACTCTTCCTCAATAGATGTGAGACATCCATTAGGCACATACACTATTTTGACGCCCCAATGGACAAGTTGAGGAAGAAATAAGCAGGATGGAAGCTACAGCTTTGATCTCTTGGAGCACAGATCTAGTTGTTACACCATGTCTTGATGAGCATGCCATTACACCTTTTGGCAGTCCATGAGGTACCAGACACCATCTTAAAGATTATTAGATAAACATGCACGTCTTTCTTATGGGATGGACAACTTCAGGGACATCGTCACTAATACCGAGTTTCTTAAGAGAAAGCATGTTGACCTACCGATGAGGGTGGCTTAAGTATTAGGCGCCTTCAAGATGTACTCAACATGCTTCAAAAGAAACTCATTTGGAGGAGGAGAACTACGTCATCGGTGCTATGTTCTTTTGTGTCACCCTCTTGGCCTCACTTGACGGTCACCCAGATTCTCTAAGGAGACACTCGTCTACTTATTGACAGGCATGGACTACCGTCGGACTTGTTACCAGCCATCATCATAATTGAGAACTAACCCATCTAAACAGTTATCATAGATTGCAGTTTCTCTTGTAGCTCCTCTTAGGAATACTTTAGAAACCGCTCCCCAAAGACTTTTCGAAGAAATCTCATATGGTATCTGGCCAACCCACCTCGTGTTCTGTTCTTCCAGTTAAAGTTCATGCATCGAGGACTACCCACTGACGATTGAGTGATTGTCACTGATCAAGAGGTGGAGAGGAGATGTCATTGTTCCTCCAACGTGACGAACGAAAGTATGAAACATCTATTCTTCCATAGTGCTATCACAGTTGAGTGTTGCCGTCAACTTTTAACGAATTAGCTTCCAACGCTCTCGTCCAAACCTACAAGACCACCACAAGAGATCTTTAAGAGAGTCATTGACTCACCGACGAGTATCAAGGTTAGTCCCTTTTACCATATCTCCATAACATATATATTATGTGAAATATGGACGGGATGTAACTCATCTCGATTTGCAGGCCAACTGATACGTGCCACAGAAATTATGAGGCACATAATACAATGGCTTCGTAACACTCATTCTTTAGTGTCGAACAAAATGAAATGCTCGCATTCTATTTGTGAGGCTTTTGGATGGACCCGAATTACTATCCGATCTATTAGATGGACACCACCAAGTGTTGGATGGTAGAAACTCAATGTCAATGGAGGATCTCAAGGCAGCCCAAGACCAGCTGAAGGAGAAGGTATTCTACATGCTAGTACAGGATGCGTTCTTTTTGCCTTTTCAAACTTTTATAATATATGGACTAACACTGTGGGAGAGGCCATGGCCATACGGGATGGTTTGTTTCTTTGTGAGGAGCAACATATTAGTAATATTATCCTAGAATCTCACACCAGAGTGTCAGTGAACATGTTACGTGCAGACTCTTGTCCTCATTGAAGGCTCAAGAATATCTGGAAATGGATCATGAGATGTGGAGGACGCATCACCACCATTACG